TGATACTCAATCCTGAAATTACACATTATAATCAACTAAAGCAGCATCCTTATGAGACAATCCCAAAATACACTCCTTAGAGCAGCCATGTTTATATGTAGACATATGATTAATTAGACTAAATGAACACAATACCTGACTCCTTAAATCAGCTGTGTTTATATCAACATAAACAAACAGCAGCCCTTCCTTATCATTCCAACAGCTGCTTTTGACTATTGAGCTCATTTTTATTTTTTTTTAAAATAGTTTTTTTATTTTTTTTTTTATTGTTACAACAACTTTTCAGCTTTCTTCAGTTACACATAGATACAGAAGTGGGGTATGCAGGGAACCTTCTTCCAGCTTCTTGTTTTCCTCTCAATTGCAGTCTATAAAAATTTAAATGCAATGTCAATTGTCATCTTTTGTCTTCCTGAATCCTCTTTTTATTTAGTCCTGGGTATGGTGATAAACTATATATGGCAACCAGGCTGCTGATCGGGAGGTGACAGATTTTGAGAAGCATGGAACCACCACTTAATTGCTGTTATTAGAATCCCAGCTATGGGCAAATAGTGAACCCCATAACAAAAACAAAACACTATGAAAGTATAAAAATACATTTTTATAGTAAAAGTACCAGCAATACATTTTTATAGTAAAATTAGCAACAGTACAATTTTAAAGCAAAATAACCAGCAATACATTTTATAGTAGGATTACTGCTCATTTTATCTGTAACAGAAGCCATAAAATTGTGTTCAAAATATTTCAATTAAATTTCAGCATTAAATGACCCAATAGGAGTTGATATTGTTGTGGAATCCATGAATGGAATCCTGCACAAATAAATAAACAATGCCAGTAATTGAGATAGAAAAATAAGTGTATTAAATGTAATAATACAGACTTGAAGTGAAGATTAGTAATCCAGGAATGCGGGTTAGTAGAAAGTAGATGTACAAGTCTCTGTAAGTAAAGCTGTAATCCTCTCTCTCTCTCTCTCTCTCTCTGGACTTGTATAACTCTCTGAGAACACCCTGTGTCTGTCTCCGTATCTCTCAACCTGCTTCAACCTGTCTCAACAGTGGGTATTCTCTCTGTCAGTATAAGTATACTTTGGATGAGTCCATCTTATGTAAAAAGGGGAGAGCCCCACAACAGATATGCTATTAAACAAATCAAATCATGTTACTTTTATTGTGCCTTCTCCTCAGTAACGTCAGTTTCCTTCACTCTTTTGTGGCTTATGACCATGTCACGTTGAGCCACCAGTTGTTGTCTGACTACCAAAGTTAAGCAACATCATGCCTGGTCAGTACCTAGATGGGTGACCACTTACATATATCAGGTGCTGTAAGCTTGGGTGTATATGGAGTGTAATTGATAATGGCCCGGAATTGGAAATCAGAGAGCAGAGTTCCAATTCCCGTTGGGTTTGTCATATTTACTTACATGCAAATATTCTTGGGAAAGCTATGAATTCACCTCTCCAGCTATGGGTTAAATAGTATCAGAAATCATTATTATCCCTGAAAAATTTTTACAATCTAAAAATATTTCCTGGCTTTAAGTAGCCTGCAAAAGGTTGATAAGCAGTAAGAAAAACAAACAAACAAATCAATCAATCAAAACATTCACTCTGTTGTCTTTCATCTTGCATCTTAGTGGCTTTAGTGCCTTGCATAGGTTGAAATGATTTAAAAGAAAAAACAAAACAAGGATATGTGGGTATGTATATGATGTAATGATTATTGCATGGAAAATGAAAATGACTGGCTAAGTTCAGATTCTGACTCGGGTTGTTATGCGTGTGGCAGAAATACCTCCTACATAATGGTAAGACATTAGCTAGATGAAGACACCATTGCCACTAATGTCTTACCATTATGTGGGAGATAATTCTGCTGCATTATGTACAAATGACTTTTGGAAAGGTATGAATCAATCGCTTCTCTTTCCAGCTATAAGTAAAAATAGTATAGTATATGATTACATCAGTAAATGTCAGAAGTCTGAAACAAATTTAATATTCACCAGGAATTGTAGTCTTAGAAGAGTTGATCTGTGATGACATCAATATGTACCAGGTTCTCTTGAAGAGATAACAAAATGAGTTTTGTATTTGGTGTCACATCAGAATGTCAAAAGACTGAGAATTGATATAGAAGGTAACCTTGAAACCATCAAGAGCAAAATCAAGCCTCAAAGGACATTGATGGGGGGCACCAACATTAATAAGGAAATGAACCCAGCTGAACTAAGGATATACACTGAAAAAAACAACCAGATGACACTGGTTGTTATGTAAATGGCCATCTTACAAGGGGAGAAAGAGAATCTCTTACATACTTGCAAAATGATCAAATGTTTAAAAGAAAGACTCAAAACCACATTCTGTCAATGTTAATTTGGCAGAATCCAGAAGTGAACATTACAATAGTAAGGATGATTGAGTTCTGAAGCCTTGATGAAGCAATCGGTCCAGAAGGTCACCTCTGAATTCAAAATCATAGACAAGGCAATAGAAATCACTTTACTACCTTTTTTATGAATCGACATGAGAGATAATAAAGAAAAAAAATAAGCTATGGTGAGCCATAATTGCCTATATTTGGAAGGAATATGACATTGTTAAAAATGCAAACCATAACTGCAGGTAAATATAATGTTCAAACTAACTCATTCACATATAAAATACATGTAAAATATAATAATACATAGAAAACAGATCAAATGTGATTTGCATATTCACAAGATTTCAACATGACATGAATTTTGTTGCTAAGCAAAGAACTGGAGGACAATCCTGCATATAAAAAAATGAAATCACATGTGTTACATGGGTTGCTGTAAATGGGTTGGTCTGATCAGTATATTTATTACTATTTATTTTTTATTTGCTAACTAGGAAAAAAAAAGGACCCCTTTCTATATTGATTGTAGACTTGAAGCAGACTATAAAATGTAATGGATTAAGATCAATAGTTTGAACAAGTATTGGAATAATAATAGTAATAACTCCTTTCAAAATTATACAAGATGTCTTTATACACACTAAGTAAAGTAACTGAATAAATTAGCTAAAATATAATAAAGCAGCCAGTTGAATGTGTTCAGTAGTTTTGAACAATCTCAGAATAATGATGACACATTTCAAAATTACTGAAGTCAACCACTCCTTGTGTTTATTTATATGAAAATAACAGCAAAAATCTTTTGGGGAAGAGAGAAGTCATTAACAAGCAATACTTAAATTGTTCCCTTTCAAATGGAGTGTTAAGTTCTTAGCTTGACCCAATTTGCAAAATCTGAACAAATGACCAAATTTTTTATTTTTTAGGGTTTCTTGATTGGGCTGAAAACTTTTCAGCACAGTATTCTCTCTTACAACTAAAATACTAAGTGGATGACCAGTTTTCTTTGTTTAACACATTTCAATGATTTTTTTTTTTTTTTTTTTTTTTAAATTATCATAACTACTACTACTATGTTATTATTATCACAACTATCATCTGGGTGCAGCTCTTTTGAAACTGATTTTAAAGAACAAACCTTTTCATGTCATGAGCATTTTCAGCATAAGGATTTCCATGTGCCATAATGCAACATAAACTTGCTTGGTAGTTAGTCATCCTGTTCTGTTGCATGTTTGAAGATGTTCTGCATAAGTTATCCACATTACAGAGAAAAACAAAATCAAAAGAATATATGAATACAAAATTCACTGTACTTTTTTTAATACACACTTGTCTTTGGAAAACATACAAGAAATTATACTAAATAAAAGTTTGTAAACCAGTTGAGTTTAGTATGTATTTATAGTTTTCAAAGAGGCAAGTGAACTGTAGCTAAAACTCTTTAGTGTATGTATAAGGTCTGATGAAAAAGTATCAGGACTGGTGCTATAAAAAGAAAACTACAACACATATCAATTCAGCATTTAATCTCCTTCAAAGTAGTCCCCTTCTGAAGCAACATGCTTTATCCGGTGTCGTTTCCATTGATGAAAGCATTCCTGGAACTTCATTTTTGGGATAGCAAGCAGCTGCCTCATCGCATCCATTAAACATGGCACGTGGAACTAGAACAGTCTGCCCCAGTGAGCGAAATAAAGGGTTCAGTTTGACATTCCAACCACCTGAAGAAGGCTGGAGCGTACAACGGCCGAAACATTGTAATAAATATGGTGACAAAGATGAGGACAATAGTCCAAATAATGTAAATAATGGACATTACTTTTGTTGTACACTGTAATTAAGATCTAATTCCAATTAATTGTAGGTTATTAATTTTTCTTTTTTCTTTTTTTTCTTTTTTTTTTTTTTTTTTAATACAGAGCCACATATAGTGTATGTTACATTTTTCTTATTAAAAACATTACAAGCATACACATAACATGGTTTTATGGTAATAGAACCAATCATATACTTAAGATTAACTTAGTTTCATTTTTCACCTGTATTTGTCTCTGTGAGTAAGAACTATCACTTTCTTCTCACATGAGGAGTAGACCAAAGCAATCACCACCCACAAAACACACACTAGAGTATTCATTGAACTAATTAAAGTAAAATAAAATTTCCATGCATACATTTTATTATTATAATTATAATTTGCTTTTAATTCTCTTTTAGTCAGGAGTTAACTAGCTCAGCAAAAACTTGCTCACATGTCTACATTTGCTAACGATCTCCAACCTTTTCTTGAAAAGGTGTTCCTGCTCAGGAAATCTTATAATTTGGAATGTTTCTTGAAAGCATAATCTGCAATATTTTGATGTTGCCTTTCAAGTTTGGTCATTTTTTTTTTTTTAGTAATCTATATATATTCATTAGGGACATATCATGTTGAAATCATACAATCAATGAAGTTAAGCATCTACTCTGAGTGGCTCTTGGGCCTTATATTGGATGAACATTAGTAAAAAAAAAAATATAAAATGAATTGCAAACGCCTTTTGAAGTGGAGATTATGCCAAGTTTGGGGCTCTTTTCACTGTAACTCAATGAGCCAAGGCTGCCATATCACATTGAAACACCAGTTCTCATATGATCACTGAAGTTAAGCAAAATCAAGCCTGGTCAGTACCTAGATGGGTGACCGCTTGGGAAAGCCAGGTGCTTTAAGCTTGTATGTGTTGGTAATGGATAATGGCTCAGAAATGTAAATCGAAGAGCCAAGTTTCAATTCCAGTTGGGTTCACAATTTTCACTTGTGCAAATACCCTCGGAAAAGGTATGAATCCACCTCTTCTCTTTCAGCTATGGGTTAATTAGTAGGGCTTATTTTCAAAAAATTCTTACAAAATAAAAAATATTATCTGGCTTTAAATAACCTGTAAAAAATCAAATCAATCAATCTATCTATCTATCTATCAATCAATTGATTCATTGGGTAAAATCACTAAGGATTTTATTTTCTTTTTAAATGCCATACCCCTTAAGCATGTAGGCAATCATAGGCACAAATAAAAAAGATTCAACAAAGATGGTTTTCCATTTCACTGAAGTAAATATTAAAGTCAAATCCTCACTGCTCTATCTTCCCTTTCTCTTCTTACCTTTTTTCTTCTTTTCTTTCTTTTTTCTCTCTTACCTTTTTCTCTTCTACCCTTTCTTTCTTTTTTTTCTACCCTTTCTTTTTTTTTCCCTTTTACTTTTCTTTTTTTTTCTTTTCTTTCCTTTCTCTTTCTTTCCCTTTCTCTATTCTTTCCTTTCTCTATTCTTTCCTTTCTCTATTCTTTCCTTTCTCTATTCTTTCCTTTCTCTATTCTTTCCTTTCTCTATTCTTTCCTTTCTCTATTCTTTCCTTTCTCTATTCTTTCCTTTCTCTATTCTTTCCTTTCTCTATTCTTTCCTTTCTCTATTCTTTCCTTTCTCTATTCTTTCCTTTCTCTATTCTTTCCTTTCTCTTTTCCTTTCTCTTTTCCTTTCTCCTTTCTCTTTTCCTTTCTCTTTTCCTTTCTCCTTTCTCTTTTCCTTTCTCTTTTCCTTTCTCCTTTCTCTTTTCCTTTCTCTTTTCCTTTTCCTTTCTCTTTTCCTTTTCCTTTCTCTTTCTCTTTTCCTTTCTCTTTCTCTTTTCCTTTCTCTTTCTCTTTTCCTTTCTCTTTCTCTTTTCCTTTCTCTTTTCCTTTCTCTTTCTCTTTTCCTTTCTCTTTTCCTTTCTCTTTCTCTTTTCCTTTCTCTTTTCCTTTCTCTTTCTCTTTTCCTTTCTCTTTTCCTTTCTCTTTCTCTTTTCTCTTTTTTCCTTTCTCTTTCTCTTTTCTCTTTTTTCTCTTTCTCTTTCTCTTTTTTCCTTTCTCTTTCTCTTTTCTCTTTTTTCCTTTCTCTTTCTCTTTTCTCTTTTTTCCTTTTTCTTTCTCTTTTCTCTTTTTTCCTTTTTCTTTCTCTTTTCTCTTTTTTCCTTTTTCTTTCTCTTTTCTCTTTTTTCCTTTTTCTTTCTCTTTTCTCTTTTTTCCTTTTTCTTTCTCTTTTCTCTTTTTTCCTTTTCTTTCTCTTTTCTCTTTTTTCCTTTTCTTTCTCTTTTCTCTTTTTCCTTTTTCTTTCTCTTTTCTCTTTTTCTTTTTTTCTTTCTCTTTTCTCTTTTTTCCTTTTCTTTCTCTTTTCTCTTTTTCCTTTTCTTTCTCTTTTCTCTTTTTTTCTTTTTTTTCTCTTTTCTTTTTTTTTTTTTCTCTTTTCTTTTCTTTTTTCTTTCTCTTTTCTCTTTTTCCTTTTTCTTTCTCTTTTCTTTTTTTCCTTTTTCTTTCTCTTTTCTCTTTTTTTTTTCCTTTTCTTTCTTTTCTCTTTTTCCTTTTCTTTCTCTTTCTCTTTTTTTTTTTTTTTCTCTTTTCTCTTTTTTCTTTTTTCTTTCTCTTTTCTCTTTTTCCTTTTCTTTCTCTTTTCTCTTTTTTCCTTTTCCTTTTTCTTTTCTCTTTTTTTTTCTTTTTCTTTTCTCTTTTTTCCTTTTTCTTTCTCTTTTCCTTTTTCTTTTTCTTTTTTTTTTTCCTTTTTTCTTTCTCTTTTTTCCTTTTTTTTTTTTCCTTTTTTTCTTTCTCTTTTTCCTTTTTCTTTCTCTTTTCCTTTTCTTTCTCTTTTTTTTTTCTTTTTCTTTCTCTTTTTTTCTTTTTTCCTTTTCTTTTTCTTTTTTTTTTCTTTTCTTTCTCTTTTTCCTTTTTTTTTTTTCTTTCTCTTTTTTCCTTTTTCTTTCTCTTTTTTCCTTTTTCTTTCTCTTTTTTCCTTTTTCTTTCTCTTTTTTCCTTTTTCTTTCTCTTTTTTCCTTTTTCTTTCTCTTTTTTCCTTTTTCTTTCTCTTTTTCCTTTTTCTTTCTCTTTTTTTTTTTCTTTTTCTTTTTCTTTTCTTTCTTTTTCTCTTTTTTCCTTTTTTTCTCTTTTCTCTTTTTCCTTTTCTTTTTTTCTCTTTTCTTTTTTTTTCTTTTCTTTTTCTTTTTTTTTCTCTTTTCTCTTTTTCCTTTTCTTTTCTTTTCTCTTTTTTTTCTTTCTCTTTCTCTTTTTTCTTTTTTCTTTCTCTTTTCTCTTTTTTCCTTTTTCTTTTCTTCTCTTTCTTTCTTTTTTCCTTTTCTCAGCTAATGACAGGGCATAACAGACCTGGAAAGAGAAGAACAGGCAGAATTATAATATATTAAATGAGGTTGGGAGGTCTTATATGGTAATGCTTCTACTCATTCTTGTGCAAGTTCATAGCCTCTACCCAGAGTTAATAGCCAAAGTCATTTTTCCTCCATTGACAGGATGACTAATTAAGCTTGTCATCTTGATTTGTATGTGGGATTGTCTACACAGTATGGAATATGGGTTTGTAATAGATTCTTGTTGCTGAGGGCAACACCTCTAATCCATACCCAAAGTATTCAGTATTCATAGATATTTTGTTAGTGTTGACAACAAAATGACGTCAAGCTGAATACCCTGCCTTTGATTGTTCAAAGAATTAGGTTTGTATCTGTCAGTCTGTTGATCCACATGACCTATGACTTGGAAACTATTTGATTGATATTATATTTGAATTCTATTAGATGATCTATTGTTATTATATAGTTATATATTATAATATTATGTACACGCACACATACATATATATATATATATATATATATATAATGAAGTGGACTAAGTTTGACAATTATTTTAATATATTTTCTGTTTATACGTTATTTTTTATACATACAAATATTTAAGTAAATGTTCTGTTTATAATAAACAGTATTAACAACATTTACCAGCCTGAATATCCAAGAAATTTCATAGAAAATATGTGTCCTCTGACAGGAATCGAACCTGCATCCTACAAACAATCATCATATATCCTGATATGCTTTACCATTTAGCTACAGAGGAAGTGTCTGGTTAGCAAAGTTGAATTATTGTTTTTAAATTATAAATTTCCCATGATTTATCTCAAATGTTCATATCTACTTGAAGTATATCTTAATGTTGGCAGACACATGTTTTCTATGAAATTTCTTGGATATTCAGGCTAGTAAATGTTGTTAATACCACATTTATAAAAAGAAAATTTACAAACAATATATATATATATATATATATATATATAGATAATATTAGTGGAAAATATACATACATATGCAAAATATATAAATAACCATATATGGATATTTTTTGAAAAAAAAAATTCCAAGAGGAAGAATCCAGGTAGAACTCAATGTCTAGGACAGAGTAAGGATATAATAAAAAGGCTTAAACACTAATATTCCATGGTCATAATTTATTCCATTGGAATCGTAAATACGATCCAATTCATCAGACCTACAAATTCAAAAAGAAAAATGGAATATTAGTGTTTAAGCCTTTTTATTATATATATTTTTGAATAAAAACAGACCACTTTAAGGTTCCATGTAATAAGTTATTTCACCACAACCCCTTTAACAGTAAAGTCTGATGATCCAGAGCCCTGTTTTTTATATATATATATAAAAATGTGTGTGTGAATAAAGATAAAAGGAAAAATTACTCTTTACCAGCAGGTTTCATCCTCTGATTGACTTTATCAAAGCAAATGTAAGCATTTTATTTTGCAAAATGTATTTATAAACTGAAATTAGGTTTTCAAAATTATTAAATACTCATAAATACACATCAGGCTAAGTGATGTAATTTAATGTTTAATAAACGAAAATTATTTTAATTTCATAAAATAAATTATATATTTATTTTAAATAATAGGTTATATATATATATATATATATAGTTATGGGATAAGAACAAATGAAGTATAATTCCAGTCTGTAGCATTTAATTTTAAAAAAGGATGCTCAATATAGAGTGGAGCTTAATATTATTTAATATAAGATTAAAACAAAAACATGTTAAAAATTGCCATACGATAGATTACATGTTTCAGTAAAGGAATTGTACTTCCTCAGGTGATGCTCAATGATGGCCATTTACCATCCCCTGAGAAAGTACAATTCTAGTACTGAAACTTGAAAGCTATTGTGTGGGAACTTTTTACATGTTTCTATTTTAATCTTTTCTTATATATATATTACATGAATCATTCATACAAAAAACAGATTAGTGAAGTTAATGATATAAATGGCAAGAATACATCTTCGCAAACAAATTTATTAAAATTACATTAACCCACGAACCTCTAGATGAATATTGTGATCCCTGTTTTTAATAAATTCAACTTGTATAAGGTCTTTTTTTGTTAGTACTTTCATCTGTTCATACAGACATCATCAGGCATGGAAATTGATTTGTTTTTTTTTTGTTTTTTTAATACATCCAGGTAATAAAAACAGTGGGTTAATGTAATTTTAATAAGTTTGTTTGCAAAGATGTATTCTCGCCATTTATATCATTAACTTCACTAATTTGTTTTTTTTTTATGAATGATTCATACAATATAAATTGAACTGCACCACATATTTGAGATATATATATATATATATATATATATATATATATATATATATATATATATATATATATATGTTGTTAAAAAACTATAGAACTTTTCCATTTGATAATCTTTTTTTTCAGTTTTTTCTTGCTTTCTCACAAGTTTTTTAATAGTTGGATCTGGGTTGTTGAAATAAGACCCTAGTCTTATAGATAAATAATAATAAACAATTTGTTTTCAAATTGAGACATAATAA